GATCACTATCAAGCGTATGTGAGTTAGAGGGCTCTCAAGCACACCTACACAAGCCATCAAGGCTTAAGGGTGCTCAGTAACCAGCCAAAGGCCAAGCTCCACCCTTATTTATAGCCCCCAAGCTAAATAGAGCCGTTGAAGTCAAGTAGCACATTTCTGCGCGGTCACCGGACAGCAATGTGCGGGCACTGGACAAGGGGTGGCGGTGCCCCAACGGTCGAATTGCAACAGCCATTCACAACTAGCCGTTGGACAAGTGGGCACCGGACAAGGGGTGGCGGTGCGCACTGCCCTATGGGTGGCGGTGCCACCTGTCGGCCAAAATCCAAACCCCGCGCTCTCTGGAAAAATATGGCGGTGCCAGGCACCAGACTGTCCGGTGACCATGGTGGTTCCACTTCAGCTCAAAACCAAAAATCACCACTTCAATCTTGTAGAGCATTTCATTAGCTTTCCGAAAAGTCCTAGATCATCGAAAACGGAGTTCGGAATTAAGAGTTATGCCAAAAATACGAAAGGGTGGTAGCGCTGATTTGGGCACATTGCTGAGGGTGGCAGTGCACCGTGCAAGGGGTGGCGGTGCATCACCCCTTGGGTGACGGTGCCACTGCCCTAGGTTGTCCGGTGCACACTGGAAAGGACGGTGCCACCCCCAGGAAGGGCTGCGCGTTGGGTATAAGTTTGGTTGCGTTTTTCGACCCTCGGACAACCCAAACTTGGTCTTTTCTTCTCCATTTCATCTCTAAGTTGATCCAAATAAACTCAAACAACTTCTACTTTGCAAATGTGCCAACACCACCAAGTGTTCTCCATCTTGTGCATGTGTGTTAGCTTTTCACAAATATTTCCTAAAGTATGAGTCACTCAATTCACCACGCCACTCGATCCTAGTAACAATGCAAAGTTAGATCACTTGAGTGATACTAGATGACCGATATGCAAACAAGTTTACCACTCTTGATAGTACGTCCATCTATCCTAAACCCGGTCATAAACTTCTCTACACACCTATGACCGGTGAAATGAAATGCCCTACAAATATAACTTTGCCTTGCGCATTCCATTACATCTCCTCCAATGTCGATGCAACACATGCGCCAACATGATCACAAATGATATGATCCACTTCATATCATCACATGATCGTATTAGTTCATCGATCTTAACTTCATTTGCTCTTCACCATTGCTTCGGTCCATCGACGCCAAGTCATCACTCAACTTGCCATTCACACACTTGCAACCGGTCCATCAAACCAAGCCTTATCTTCATCTCTCCACCTTGGTCACGTGACTCAATGTCATGTCTCATATGCAATGAGCTCCTTCATCACATGTGTGAGCTTTGCAACATCTCCGAGCCATTTTCAGCTTCATGGCATATGTTGCTCACACACATGTATCTGTGGACTAATCACCTGTGTATCTCACATTTAACACAATTAGTCCACCTAGGATGTTACTCAATTACCAAAACCAATCAAGAACCTTTCATGAGACGTGTTACCTCGACATTATAGTCTTTGGCGCCGACCCCTGGGTTTATATTTAAAAATAAAATAGGTCGATCAAAGGTGTAAATGTGAATATTTCTTGAAAAAAACAAGAAAAAAGAATATTTCTTGAAAAAGAGCTAAAAAGCAAAAAAAAAAGACAGTTTATTTTCTTAAAGACGGCCGGATCCGAAGGAGCTATCACATCGAAAAAGATCTCGCATCGTCAGACGTCGCACACCAACTCCGTCCTATCTCCACGACCGGACAATGGTTACGAACCTACGACATCTAAATTCTAGGAGCTAAGTTCTATGATCTTTGTGATTCCAAACAAACTCTAAAGCCAAATACATTATCAGTTGGCACTAACAATAGTGCACTACATCACTAGAGTGAAGGTACGAGGAGAGGATGCGCTGTTCGTTTCGCAATGTATGGCTAGTCTCAGTGGGAGTTTTATACGTGTTTCATTTATAAAAATAGGTTGTCATATAAGCATTTTTGATGATATGGCAGCGTATTTAAGAAGAGAGAGAAGAAATGAGTTTCATCTCTTGTCACGATTACCAATTATCTATGAGCCATGAAATTAAATGGCTATGAACTCTGGAATGACACTTTGCATTGAGAGTGAGTGTTTCATCCACGTTTCATTATACTGATAATGACGCTATAAAACTATGCACCGAGACTGGCGGCGTAATCAACCTGCTGGCTTGAGCCTTTGCCGGTAGGATTACACAAAAGGCGGATGGGAATGTGTAGCTGTAGCCTGTAGCCTGTAGCCTCGAACGATCGGTAGCTTAGCTGGGAGTGGGATGCATGGTGTGGGATCATCCCAACATGCATGGCATAGGTTACGGTACGAGCGGCCAGCAGGCCACACATGGACCTCAAATAGAAGCTCCGAAGCGAAGAGAAACCGAGAGAAAGGGCGCTAGTTCTATATATAAAAAAAAGCTGTTCATAGAAAGTGTCGCACTTTGCTTGATATGTGATATATATAAAACCACTAGTAGTAAGCATACGTACCAAAAAGAAAGCGCTGAATCGCCGAAGTCGTGCATGCGTTAGTGCCGGCGCCAATGCCAACTGCCGTGGGAAACCGAACGGGATCCGTCGTCGGATCCAGCTGCCCAAACGCGCATGGACCTCACCTGGGCGCGCGTTTGGCGTTTCTGCCCTGCCCTGGACGCACTCTGCCCTGGCCCGGCGGCGTTGGTGTATCGGATCTAACCGATCGTCCCTTTCTCCAGAAAGGAAGGAATCCCTATCCGTCCGGCGGATGCAAAGCTGCCCCCCATTGCTATTACCATTCGCACGGGAACGCACGCACAGTAAAACTCACCGCAGCGCGGTAACTCGACTCGCGCCTCCATCCAGTCCCAAACCCCCAAACGGCTGTAACGCCGCTGCTTTGCTTTCCCCGGAGCAGGAGGAGGAGCCGCCCCGGCGGCGGGCACCGCGACGCGTACCGGAGAGAATCGCGACAAAAGATCCTGTGTCGTCGGAGGATCAGACGACGCGCATCAACTCCATCCCGTCTCCACGTCTCCACGGTACCCACGGGCCACGGCCATCCGGGAAGCGAGGCTCCAATCACTCCATGCACCACGCACCCAGCCACCCCCCCACGTCGCATGACAAGTGGGTTCCGCGAGCCACTCCTCCTGCGCGCGCACCCAAACTCCATGCTACCACGATTGACTTCACCCCTGGCCCCCACGACGATGTTGGGCCCGCGAGTCAGTAGCTGCGGCTCGGTTTCTATCGGGTGCGGCGGTCACGCGGAGGTGATGGGGCAGCGAGGCGAGAGCATAAATCGGACGTGACCCCTCCTAGGCTTTGCACGGATGTCATCTCGATCGACAGCTGTAGCCATTCGTGGGCTGTGAGTGCCTGATTAGTTTCCAAAATTTTGCAAAATTTTTTAAGATTCTTTGTCACATCGAATCTTTGGACACATGTATGAAGCATTAAATAACAACGAAATTTTACAAACTAATTACACAGTTTAGACGAAATTCACGAGACGAATCTTTTAAGCCTAATTAGACTATGATTGTACACTAATTGCCAAATAACAACGAAAGTGTTACAGTATAATTTTCTAAAAAATTTCGCCAACTAAACAAGGCCTGAGACAAGGCGGCGGTGGAGGACACCCGGTGCATGGTTAGAGAAGGATGGTGGAGACGACGGCAGCACTAGTGGTAGGTGGACGATGAGATTGCTGACGGCTAAGGCTAGCGATGGAGGAAGCGGCGACAGAGAAGGGAGAAGAGAAGTGGGGAGGGATAGGTGGTGATAGTGGAGGTGGGAAGTGGGCAGTGATTGAGGCGGCGATTGCGGTGGTTGGAGGTGAGTTGTGGTGTTGTCGCGGTGTAGGAGGAGGACAATGTGGCAGCAGCGGTAGTGAAAGAGAAGCAGAAAAGATATGTGTCGATACCTGACACCTACGTGTTGATTAAGAGTCCCCCGTACATACCTGTCGAGTCAAGTAGTGTCATCCCATTTCAAACTCGTAGGTAATTTCTACACATTAATAAAATAGCTCCGCTCGGCTGCACTAGGGCTGATGCAGCCACAACGGTAGCTGGTGCAGTCGAGCATATTGAATTCCTATACTCGCTCATAGGTAAAAAGAAAAACATATCCGTATTGGTATCAAATAGTCGACGAGACCGAGAATCATGTAGAGCAAAACATATATATATATATAAATAGAAACCGATAATGGTGGCTGAGTCATGTACGAATCACCACCTACCGCCAGTGCTTGCTGTTTCGGGCATCGATCGTGCTCTTCCTCCTTCCCCCTGAAGAACGCCCGTTGCCATCTCCATTCGTCTCATGTTCAATCACCGTGCATGGCCTAAAGGGAGTACGGTACGGGCAATGATTCGCCAAATAGGATTTGCTTGCTCGATCTCTTCATTGGCCATTGGGCTTGCTCGCTGCAGATGCATGCTTGAAATAGTTATAGCTACAGCCGCAGAAAGCTCAAGCAAGCAGACCGATCCATATTGCGTGTCCATGCCGTGTGTGAAGTGCATGCGGCCGCCGTGTCCAAAAGCAATGCAATCTACCCTGCAATCTTTTGCTGGCCGGCCGGAAGGATTACGCAAAGGCGGATGCAAATGTAGCCTCGATGATCCCTGCAATCTTTTGACGACGCACACTGCCCCGGCCCCCGGCCCGGCGTTGGCGTACCGGACCGGACCGATCGTCCCTTTCTGCAGAAAGGAAGGAATCCCCGTCCGTCCGGCGGACGCAAAGCCTGCTGCTTGCTTGCCATCGCCCGGGAACGAACGCCACACGGTAAAAACTCACCGCGGCGCGGTAACTTGACGCACGCCTTCAGTCCCAAACGGCCGTAACGCCGCGGTTTGCTTTCCTCGGACCCTGAGGAGGAGCCAGGCACCGGCGCCGCGCACCGGAGAAGAATCGCGACAAAAGATCTCGTGACGCCGCGCATCAACTCCGTCCCGTCTCCACGGCACCCATGGCCGGACGTGAGAGGCTCCATGCACCATGCACCACGCACCCAGCCACCACCCCCACGTCGCATGACAAGTGGGCTCCGCAAGCCCCTCCTCCGGCGCGCGCACCTAAACTCCGCGCTGCCTCTTCTCACTTCCACACTGGGCCCGACGACTCCGGGGCCCGCGGGTCAGTAACTGCAGCTCACTCTCCACCGTGTGCAGCGGTTACGCGGAGGGAGGTGGTGGGGCCAGCGAGGCGAGAGCATAAATCGGACGTGACCCTTCGCAGGCTTCTCCTCCTCCACGCTGCTAGGCTTCTGTCACACGCCTCCCCTCCCCACGCTGCTCACAGCGTCTGTGTGCGTATACCTTCTCCTCCTCCCACAACCCCCTGGGGTTTGGGTGGGGTTTTGCTTGCTCCCAGGAGGAATCAACAGCGACGGCGCCCGCCCCCGCCGCGGGCGCTAGGCGTCTGGGTGCTCGAATCGCGCGGCGCCGCAGAGGTACGCGAGCTCGGCGACCCCACCGCGCCCGTTTCCTCTTCCTTCGTTTCGTTCTGGGTGGGTGGGTGGGTGGGGTCTCGGTTCCGTCGTTCATTCCGACGACTCGGAGGCGATCGCCGGCTTGCGGAGGGGTCGCGGTGGCTCCGGGTGGAAACTGCCAAGGATCGCGCGCCTGTGGAATTATTTTCAGCTTTTTTTTTTACCTTTTTTTCTCCTGTGCTTTTATTTCGCTGCGAGTTTGGGGGTGCTGGGCGATCGGCTGGTTCTAGCGTGGTTGAGGCGCTTCCCGGGAGGGATTGGTGCCGAATGCCTGTGCTCTGCGGCCCTTTTGGCCCCGTTTTCTGGTGATTTGGGACTTCGGGTGGGGGTTTCCGCGCGCGCATTGGGATTTGGGAGGAGCTTTTCGGCTGTGCCTTTACAATGGCGCTCCGATTTGGCCCCTTCCTAGGGAGCAGGAACTACTGGAGCCGGGTGTGTAGTTCGAGCGATTTCTAGTGGTTTTGTCTCGAAAATTTCTGTGTTCGCCCTTGATTTTGCCTGCTGATGTGCTCACTGCTCAGGGTGTCTGGGTATGGGTAGTACACTGGTTAGGGAACTCGATCGATTGCTGCCTGCGGCACCTGCCGCACCCTCGTCGCCGGCTCCGACTTCGCTACTGCAGTGGGCAGCGGCACCGATCCGTGGTCGCCCAGTTCTCTTGCACACCCGCAGTTTTCTAGGTGGGTTTGGGGGTCCATGGGTTTAAATTTTTGTTCTCCGGCAATTTCTGAGGAAATGATTGGTCGCTAGGTCGCGGGTATTTAAGTAGTACTAATAACGTCCATGTACACGGAGCTGCATTTATGCCTCAAATTAGGTACTGGGAGATCCCTGAACTCTGAAGAGTTTCAGCATGCCGGGACGATTTGCTGGTTGGATAACGCCTGTGCCTCGGTTGGATTTTGGTGTAGAAAGTAGTGCAAATTAGGCGCAGATTGTTATGGCTCTTGTGTTGTACGTAATCATTATGGTTTCCAGAACTTCATGCTCAGTAGGCTCCCCTGATTTTGGGTTGTGGGTGTTGTTTAGTGCTGTTGATGTTTCAGGTTTGGCTTTGGAGTGATTTTACTCAGCACTTATATATAATAATAGATTTCACAAATTTATATGCGATGTTTTCCTGGTGCAAGAATGTGAGTTATGAAAAACAACAACCTTTATTCTTGTCAAAAGTGGTGCTGAATGCAGACTATTTTGGTGCCTTAACAGGTATCATACAAGTGGAATGACCAAGCAAGAATTTGGGATTGTTAGCTCAGAGGATATGGCTGAGCACACTCACGAAGATAGATACGCTAATGTTGATTTAGTTTGTGCTCTGTGTGACAATGGAGGTGAAATTATAAGGTGGGTGTGCACTTTTTCCAGTTTTTTTTTTATCTGCTGTCCATTATGCATTTCCTGCCAGGATAAGTAAAATATTCAGAATGCTCCATGACTGATGTAGTCCATGCTGTTGACATAATGCTGCCTTTTCAGGTAGAAATATATATACACACATTAGTTAGTATTGTGGACATGGTAAAAAGAGGGCTGAGGGTTGTAAAATTGATTTAATTTAAAAGGAACATAGTGGTGTCTAGTTTTTAGTTCTGTTTTAGAGTATCACCTATATACCCATGCAGTTTTTCAAGAGATATATGCAGTGGCCTGGAAATTACTAGTTGTTTTTCATAACAGATTTCGCCACTCTGTTTGCAACGTCTTTTGAAGTTCCTGTATTACATGTGAGCTAACGGAATTGGTGAGTCATTGAACAATGCTTGGTTGTGGTTGAAACTACTCGTTTTTGTTTCCTAAAATGCCTGTATTATCTGTATTTGGTCTCAAAGGCTCGCATTTTGCCAGCTATGGCCAATATTAGTATCCAGTTTGCATCATCTTCTGTACTTTTTGAGAGAACACACACAAAATTCTACTTATATGATTATCTTCTCATCTTAGATAAACACCTTCTAATGTCTATCCATTCTTTCTGATTCATGAAATGTACTTTTTTCTGTACTTTCTTGCAGCTGTGAAGGCCGTGTCTGAGGTCGTTTCATGCAACTAACTTGATTCTGGTGAAGATTGTCCAACCTTAGGCTACAGCAGGCAGCAGTTAGATGTATCTATCATGGCCCTTTCACAGTTGAACAAGTTTAACTTTATTGACTTAACATATTCTCCAACCTATTGTGGGCGTCCTTTGATGAACTCATGCATATTTACAGGTGATGAAAGTTTTTAAGTGCAAGAATTGTGAGTATGGAAAATATCAATGCTTTGCCTGTGGAAGGCTAGGTTCAGCTAAAACTAATCCTCCAGAGGTTACCCCCTTTCACTAAAAAATATTCATAGAAAATTCATTCGGATACTAATTGGATGATAACTTTTGCCAGTGCAATCATAAAATATGGTAGAATTATTAATGCTCCTTTATGCTGTATCAGATGGTTTTGAAAGCTTTTTGTTTTAAATTCCTTGTTTCTTTTAGGTGTTTCCATGTGCGTCTTCAACTTGCGGTCACTTCTATCATGCAAAGTGTGTTGCTCAGTTACTCTTCCCTGAAAACAGGGCCAAAGCAACTGAGTATACAGCAATGATAGCCAGTGGGGGCCCAAAATTTGCATGTCCCCTCCACAAATGTGGCATCTGCAAGTACAGGGAGAACAAAGAGGATAAAGAGCTGCAGTTCGCTGTATGTAGGCGGTGCCCAAAGTCATATCATAGAAGATGCTTGCCAAGGTATTAAAGACTTATTTGCATTGTTCATTTCCATAGTAGTTTGCATTCCATCAATAGTCATTTCAATACAAGTCTACCTGTCCACAGGGAAATTGTCTTTGAGGACTTCACTGAGAATGGTCAATGTGTTTTCCAAAGGGCGTGGGACGACCTTCTTCCCAACAATCGTATCTTGATATATTGCTTGTATGATATGTTTCCTGCAGTCAAGTAGCTCTGCTGATTTTATTATTATCCAACAAAATTCTGAATGGACCTTGTTATTTGGCCAGGAAGCATGAAATTAATCCAGAATATAGAACCCCCACAAGAAATCATATTAAGTTTCCTGATGACCCTACTGCTCTCAAGAAACCCCTCAATTGTGTCAATGGAATGAACAAAAAGGCAGTGAAGATCTGACGTCTCGAGGAGCTTCCTTCTAATAAACCCCTCAATTGTGTCAATGGAATGAAGGAGCTTCCTTCTGCGCCATTGTCCAACGTTAAAAGATCTTCCTGCACAGTGAGAAGTTCTTCATTAAGAAATTTGAGGAATAAAAGAAGGAAAGTGACTGTTTCTGAAGAAAAACCTGTGGCTATGACGAAACTCCTGAGATTGACAGAGACACTGAGATGAAACAAGTCTATATCCCTGTGTTTACTGCTATCCGTTTCCTTCTTTCCAACCAATTTGTTCTTCATATGCATTTCTTCTGCTATGAAATAAAGTTTTGATGGTGTGGGCTTCCCACAAAGAAAATAACAAGAGTTTCAGTAAATAGAAACTCCAAGAATATCTAATGTTCATAACATTGTTCATAACTCTTGCTAATTCAGTGTAAACATTGTGCATTAGAGGTTATGAAAAAGTCAATGAACTATGTTTGTTAAGATATTTTACTTTTAAGATATTTTTGGATTTGTTTAGGTTTGTTTCAGTGGAACTTTGGTTATCATTCAAAAGATTAAGGTTAAGCTGTGCTGTTTTTTCATTTACACTAATGGAAGTGTCATTTACAACAATATTAATCTCTCTTAGATCATAACCATCACATTTATTCGGTTTACTTTTATTTCTGTGCCAGTTATCGTATAAAATATTTTGAGTGAATTCAACCATGGCATTATGTGTGCAGTATTTTGTTCAATTCATGCTTTCTTTAGTACTGTTGTATCCTTTTCTTTCCATGATCTGCACTGCATGCACTGAGGATACCCTTCTCTCTAGAATGTATGAGTTTGCACAAAAAAAAGCGGCAGCTGGTATAACAATGGAGGATGTAAAGAAAAAGCTAGTGGTACCATCTACACATGCACCATATCTGCAGAATGCTGATAACATTACACTGGAAAAAGGTGGAAGAATCTGTTGAGGTACTTTGCTATACTTTGAAGAACTGAAGATTTTCCATGGATTTGGTTGGTTTCTTGTGTCATTATGTGTTTTTCCATGCAGGTGGTTAAAGATGCTCTGCATATGTTAGAATATGGTGCATCTATAGCAGATGCCAAATCTGTCTGCCCACCTCATGTTCTGTTTCAACTTGTAAAGTGGAAGGTACATGGAAATGTGGAACTCTCCTCTTGGTTGTTTTACACAAATTATGTTTTACTACTATTCTTTTACATACTTACAGCTTTAGATGGTATGCATATACTATTGTAGTAGTTTGCCAAGTTCTAGCCCTTATTTTTTAGACTAATTGACTTTGTTACCTCCTTATTATTCCTCCGGTCACAAATAATTTACGATTTGGACAAGATCGAGTCAAACTTTGAAACTTTAACTATCAGCAATTTTGAAATATTTAGCTTGAAACACACCAGAAAAAGTGGGTTTGTCTTGAAAAAATATTTTCATAATTAATCTCATAAACATATTAACTTTTGTAAATATATTCTAATAGAAATGGTGGTCAGGAGTTGCATCTCGAGGCCATGAAGTGAAAAATGTCAAGTTTTTTTTTGACTAGTGGGAGTATTACTGAAACATTGAGATAACCCATTTAGAACACCAGATACCTTGGAAAATATTTTTTTTATTCTTCGTAGTATTATTGGCAAAAGGTGCAAATGTGCAATGTGTGGTTAAATATGGTGTTTTATGTACTCGAGGTTAATTTTTTTTTTGTTAAATTTAAAGTTTGGCATCCATTATAACATGTTCTATTATCTGCAGAACAAGCTGAATGTATTTCTTGCACCATTTCTTCATGGCATGCGCTACACATCTTATGGGCGCCACTTCACGAAACTGGATAAACTCCAGCTGGTAGGTGCAACCATTAGTCCTTAAAACAAGACATGATTATCTTCACATTGCATTTGTTAATCTTTTCTTCCTGTTCTCTTAGAAGCAATGCATCACATTGCCACATGGCAATAGCGTTCTACATAAACAGAGACATGCTCTCTTGAGTATGAGGATGGTCTATTTGGAACCACCGTAACAGATGTGTGTTTGATGGGATTCAACCCAGTCTTAATGGAGTTTTAGCTGTAGTTGGGGATGAACTTCACCTCTGGAGTCTGGCCGGGAGCTCGAGGAGTTTCCATCTCGTTGCTCTAGAGCCAGCCAATGGGTGAGTTCTACTACTACTAGTGGTCGAGGTCAGGTCTTTGTCCAGAGAGGAAGCGGATTGTGCCTTGTGAAGTGTGTCGGGGTGTGTATGGTGTTGTAAGGGGTTCCTAAACCCCCTTTTTAAATCTTAATATAATGATCGCAGCTCTCCTGCATGTTCGAGAAAAAAAATATTGTGAATTTGCAGTCTGTGCATAATTGTCATAAAGGATAAACAGAAAGACATTGCCACTCGTAATACTTTTGATGTGGTTGAGCGATAAATAATAAATTGGCATCCATATGCCAAAGATAATTGGAACATAATTCAAACTTTTGTCTTTTGAATACATGTAATATGCTACCAATGTGGTTGGTTTACATGACTTGAGGGCCAAGCTGATTTTACACAGGATTGTAAACTGTCCCTACTATATCCTAGTTTTGATATACTCTAACAAAGGGTATAGGTTTGATAGTTTTGGATTACTATGATATTAAAGCCAATTGCAAAGTTTCTTATGGTTATGTCGAAAAAAATGGTTGCTAGGTAACCAATTCAATGGAGTTGCACATGCGATTGTAAAAAATTTATTAGGGGCCTTGATACAAATTATACTGTCTATAAATTTAGACATGTTTTTCTGAGCCTTGAATGAGTAGAATTAAAAATAATATTATGATAGTTGGATCAAATAATCCTTATCAATATTGCTAACTTGGCATATACTTGAAATGTACCTCATGCGTCATTGCATCAACAATCTGTAGTAGCCCTGGGATGAATTTGGTGTAAGGAATAGGAATCTTCTTAGGCCATCTTATATTGTTCCATTTAAATTGGTTATAAACTGAGTGCTGTACAACTGGCAACAGATCTATTTCGCAATATACTATATTATTACAGATTAGCTGTTGGTCTTCAGGCTGGTTTCTTGTCACTTATCTATCTTGGAACCCAATATTATTCTTACAAACTTTGTTATATCGCTAATTTTGACCATGTGCTGATTGCATTATCCTTTTGTAATACTAAAGCAACTGCTGTAAATGTGTGCAGATTGTTGATAAGCTACAGTGGTATATTCAAAGTGGTGACACATTAAAACATCTGTTTTCGTTTTTATTACATTAATTTGGGTGGCCCTTGTTTGGTTATGATATAACATTGTGCTCTGATGAAAGTGCATAAGCTATGTGCTGCATTCTGAATATATGGTCTTCTTTCACATTTTCTATTCTCATGAATTTGTGCAATACATTTTGCTCAGTTCATGGATTAAGGAAGATCTCAGAAGAAAAGGCTGTTGTACAATGTACATGATATATTCTATCCATAACAAACTTAAACACCTAGTTGATGTCTCTGGTAATCTGGTTAAATCAAGTATATAGCTAAAAAATTGGTTGGACAATAGCAGTATTATAAAAAACAAATATTATAAAGGTGACAGTTCTTCGTTTTACCAGAGATAAATAAAATTTTGTATCTTAGTTCAGTTTATAGCCGACAACATATAACTTTGTACACCATATACGTATGCTAATTCACCAGCCTTCTGTTTCATTGCAAATATCTTAGCATGTATGTTACGCTTTAAAGCTTTCTATAAAAGCTGGGTTTCCTCTGTCAAAAAAAAATCATCATAGCATGTATACCTGTTCATTGAATATCTTGCTTCAGTTCATTTTGAGCATAATGATTTTGATGCTCATGTAGACATTAAGTCACTCAGTTTCTATCCTCATGTTCATTTCATACAAAGCTTTGAAAGTTTATGCAATTCTTGTTTTTTCTTGTGTTAAGCAGAGCTGACCATAATAGATGATCAACAGATGCCACTTGTTATGAGCCTTATTTTGTCATTTATTCTTATTCTTTACAGGGTGGTAGATTTTTTGCTGTGGTTCAAATGACTTTGGCTTGTTATTGAAGGAAACATTGGAATCTTCTGGGAAAAATTGCTTCTAAAAATTATGATCTCATTCAACCAAAGGTGGTATACCTGTAATAATTCTGCATTGGCCAGTGTCTGTTTGTTTTTGCGCTTTTAATATTTAGTAGCATACCTATGAAGTTGTTTTAAGTTTTGATTATGCTACATACTAGAGATTGGCCTGAAATCACACCTGATATCTTTTGCCACTTCATTTTAAGTGTATTGTTAAAGTGTTCTACCACAGCTGACATGCAGAACACTCGTCTCAATTTTGTAGAATGATTTCAATTTTGAGAGACAGACTGGATGACTGTTCAACCAGATGAATTGCCCCACAGGATGCAGACTGGTACGATAACAGGGAGCTTTACATGTTGGTGCTCTCATCCCATTGGAGACATAATGTATCAGTTATTTAAGTTGATCAACTACTGTTATTCACAGGTCATGGGTTTGAATCCTCTCCTTTGGGGTTAAAGCCTCTCTTGCGAACCAGTTCATCAACAAAGCCCTCACTTTCCAAGCCAAAACTTATAATACTCATTGTTCCCAAAAAAACTGAAAGGTTTCCCCTCTTCCCTATCTTTCTGCATGTTTTTTTCTTTTATAAAAGATATCTCACACCATTCCATTCTTGATGTTGGATGAATTGGACAAGAAATACCACCATATGAGCTAATATGGCAGGACTCCCAAGATCAGCTCTCCGGAAAGGTGCTTCTGGACAGTAGTCTCCTTGAGTACATCACATCCTCAGAATATTGCTATATTCTTTACTGACATTTTCTAATTGGGAAACTATGCAGTCATTCTATCTACCTGGATCTCTGAATTGTTGACAACAAGGTGATGGAGCAATGGAATATGTCACCTCCTCCGCTTTCTCTGTGGAGCCGTAGTGATTGGGCTAAGAGGCACTCCAGAGATCGCCAAATCAATGAGGCACATCTAATGAAGAGTGCGTCCTCTGGTGATTTACAAAGGGATATGGCTGTATCTGTACCAACCACAGAGCATGTGGAGATAGATGATGCAGAGGTCATGAGGCATACCTCCCTGTTTCCTGGATCCAGCTGATGTCTGACACGTTCCATGACCCAACAACTTCTCCAGGGGACTGCTGGAATGATACCAATGGGCGATCCACGGCAACTATGCAACCATGAAACTGCAAGACCAGGAA